AGATGGAATCCTAAAATAAACTTCAATTACCTTACAAGAATGTAAAAATAAGAAATAGGTATGAGAAAGAAAACAAATAATAAAAAATCAGACTTAAGTTGCAGCATTTAAAAATTAACTTAAATATAAATAGTCTAAATACAAAAATCAAAAGATAGAGGTTGGCAATATCAGGGTAGGGGGGAAACAAGACCCAACTGTATGTTGCTGTTTAGAAGAAACTCAGCCTAAACTGAAGGGCATAGTAGGTTGAAAGTAAAAGGACAGGGAAAAAATAATATACAAACTTTCATTAGAAAAAAGGCAGAAAGGGCTACATTAATATCTGACAAAGTAGGCTTCAGTGCTAGAAAATTACCATGGACAAAGAGGGACATTATATATAATAAAAGGCTCAATCTACAAGGAAGACATAATGATCATAAATGTGGATACAATAAACAACAAAGACTCAAAATACACTAAACAAAAACTAAAACGCTGGAAGGAGAAATAGAAGAATCCACAATAATAGTTGGCAATATTAACATTCCCCTCTAAAGGCCCCTTTTGATCTAGATCAAGTAGCCCCCAAATCATAAGGATATAGAAAACCCAAAAAACATAAATAACCAATAAGATTTAATTGACATATGTAGAAAAGTCTGCCCAACAAAAGAGTAGACATTTGTTTCAAGCACTGATGAAACATGCACCAAGAATAGACAATATTTTGAATCATAAAACAAAATAGAACAATTTAAAATATTTGAAATTATACGCAATGTTTTATCTGACCATAGTAGAATTGAATATAGATCAATAACAAAAAGACAATAAGAAATTCTATAAACATGTGGAAATTAATTAACACACCTCTAAATAAGCCATGAGTCAGAGAGGAAGTCTCAAAGAAAATTTTAAAAATACATAGAACTGAATGAAAACAAAATTACAAAATATAAAAATGCTAAAGCAGTGCTAAGGGTCATTTATAATACTATGTGCTTACGTTAGAAATGAGGAAATATCTCAAATGAATGATCTAATTCCTAACCTCAAAAAACTAGAAAAAGAGAGTAACATAAACCCAAATCAAGCAAAAGAAAAGAAATACTAGAGAGCAGCAATCCATGGAATTTAAAATGAAATTATAGGAAAGTCAATGACAAAAAATCAATTCTTAGAAAAAAATCAATAAAGTCTATAAACCACTAGCAATACTCAAAAAAAGGGACAAAATACATACATGGCTAACATCAGGAATGAAAGAAGTGATATCATTACAGATGCTACAGTCATTTAAAAATAATAAGAAAAAATTTCTAACAATTCCACACATAAATTTGACAACTTAGAATTGGAAGAATTCCTTGAACACCACAAACTACAGTAACTTAATCAAGATAATAATATAGGCAGCATGAACAGTGTTATAAGCATCAAAATACTGAACTCATAGTTTAAAGCGTCCTGAAAGAGAAATCTCCAGGCCGGATGATTTCACTAGAAAATTCTACCATTTAAATAATTATAAACAAGCTCTTACGGAACATAGAAGAAAAGAGAACACTTCTGAATTCATGTTATGAGGCTTGTACTATCTTGACAGCAAAACCAGACAATGACAATACAAAAGAAACAAGAAATAAATGAATAAATAAAACAAAATATAAAACAATATCTGTCATAAACCGGTACAAAACAATCTCTACTAAAATACTAGCAAACCAAATCCAAGAGTGTATTAAAAGAATGATATACCATGACCAAGAGGAATTTAATCCATGTATCCAAGGGCAAGTCTGGTTCAACATTCAAAAATTAATCAGTGTAACCCATCATATCAATAAGTTACATAAAAAAATGACATGATCATATGAATTGACACAGAAAAAGCATTTGACAAAATTCACAACTTCTTCATGATAAAAACTCTCGGCAAGTTAGATGGAATTACTCCAATTTGATAAAGGCCATCTAAAAATACTGACAACTAAAGTCATACTTAATGGTGAAAGACTGAATGGTTTCCCCTAATAGTGGGAACAGGGAAAGGATG